TAATAATTTCAATGGTTGAACTCGATGGACTTTTGTCTTTTTTCAGCCAGACTAACTATGTAACTATGTTTGAGTTTAATAGTAAAGTAATACTAAGAGCAGTGTGAGGCTACTCAAGATTTCAAGAACGCCAATGATCAGGTGAACAGCCTATAGCACACAAATTAAAATAACCTTATTTTTATATTAATTGTGCTTCTCTAACTATTCACATACAGTATATATGCTCACACCCTGAACTGTAAACTCTCCTTCTAATTTTATCTTAACCAGCACCTAACTGGCTGTTGTAGTAAAATGGCCAGTCATGGGAGCCATTAGAAAGCACACACCACAAAATTAAATGAGCCAATCAGTGTGGCTCTGAACCTTATGATCATTGTGAACCAACCAAAGCAACGCATTTGTAAACACTGGGTATGTTTAAACATGGCCAGCCTGCCCTTTTCTCTCACAATGGCTTCGGTACAGCAACTACTGTAAGGCTCCATGCACAATGGGCATTTTAATAAAGCTGGTAACGTTAGCTGCGTAAAGTCACGTTAAAAATGTGAGTTTTTTCTGCATTTTTGCATTGGTGTTTAGCCGCGATTTTCACGTTTGCATTTTTTAGCTTTATTTTAACCAAAAAAATTAATTTTTGTGCTCACAAACGTCCAGAAATGCCAGTTTGTCACGTTTTACAGCATTTTTCAGCGTTAGTGCATTTTTACAGCTACAAAACTCCTCTAAGAACCCACTAGTTCTGAGTTTTTCTCCAGCCAAAAAACGCCACTGCCAAAAACCGCTGATTACAGTCTCTGTGTGCATGGACACATAGGATAACATGCTGGGGAGAGTTTTACTGGCTGTAGAAAAAAATGCCAAAAGCCAAAAACAGCAGCTGTAAAAATGTCCAGTGTGCATGAGGACTAATTATGTACTGGCACTGTCTTTAACCACTGATTGTTAGTCTTACTTCCACTGATCACCAGTGATAGAGCGTGTTTAGTAGAACTAATCTCAATGGATTTTCTGGGCATTTTAATGTCACTGACCACCAAAAGTTGGTCTGTGGAATGGGGAGGGGTTGCTGCCACTGACCACCAATGGCTATCCATACTAATCATAATGCTTTTAGTGACATGCAGTTCAAGATAGCCACACTGACTATTTGCCAAAATGCCTTTTTTAACCCCTTCAAGACTGAACACTAGTAAAAGAGGTCAATAGGGGGCCAGTTCTTCTGGGTAGACATTTTAAAACGTAATTTTTTGAGCTGCATGTACATTATCCATGACATCTAGCCATCACATACCATGCAATTTCAGTGCAATGCAATTTCATCCTCCAGGGAATGCTCTTCTACTAATAAAGGAAGACTTGCACTTGCCTTCAGTGGCTGAATTGTAAAGGATTAGGTCAATGTAACCACCTCACATACCAGCACATTTCTTTATTTCCAAAAAATTAGATTACCTTGGGATGTCTACTTTCCAAAAAGGAGTCATTTTGGGGGTGTTTATACTGTCTTGGCATTTTTATCTGATATGTGGGAACGAATGTTTTCCCTACTGGAACAAGTTGGATCATGCTTTATTGGTTTTTTTTTGCCTTTCTCTGGATCAACTGTGGGTAAGTGTGTATATAGAGGATTTCTATTTGTTTGTTTTTTCTATTGGTTGAACTAGATGCACTTGCTACAACTTAACTATGTAACTCTGTAAGTAAGAAAAACTTTTTTTAATATATTTTTTTCTTTTATATAGAAAAAAAAACTCAGTGGTAATTAAATTCCTACAAAGAAAGCTATGGCTAAAAAAAATATATAAAATTAATCTGGGTTCATTGTTGCATGGCAGAGTAATTGTCATTCAAATTGAAATATGGCCTGGTATTAAGATGGTTAATGTATGTTCCTGATTTGCGGTGAAGCATACACTTACCTTCCCAAGCCAAGATTCCTTCTGATTCACTGTGGAGGGGAGGCATAGCAAGTAATAATTCCCAGTATAAATTAAACAAATGGCAGGTAATGAGCGTATTTTAAACTGTAAAAGCTGCCATCTGCAATATTTCATGACAAGTAAATGGGATTTGTATATGCCTTCTTTGTAACAGCTGGCTCTAGGGCTAAAACAAGTAAATGAATAGGTATTCATCTAAAAAAAAGAACATCTGCAATAAGCTCTCACAGAAAATACAAAGCAAATTGTCCACGCCATAATGCTCTCAATTAATTAAAATCTGTTTTGTGAATGACTGCTCCCTGTTGAAATGAATGTAAGTTGAGCTGTTACGGTGTCAATATTTGCCTGGCCTTTCCCACTCTGCCAATGAAAGACTCTTTAATGCTAATCCGCAAAATGGTGGGGAATAAAAAAAGCCTGTCATGAGAGATGTATTATCATGTAATATGTACAGCTTAATGTGTACTTGTCACCTGTAGAGTACTGACAGCTTCCACCGGGACTGAATCAGTACTAGCTATTCTACTACAAGGGTAGGTGCTCCTTTACCAACCACTAGCCAAATGCCTAAAGCAGTTTCCTGACATATCTGATTCAATTCCATGGTTTAGTGTTGGTAGGATTTGGAAGGGGTCTCTAGTGCCAAGAATTAAAAATTTGAAGTGCCCCTAAGTTTAAAAAGGGTGTCCTACACTACTCCATAGCAATTAAACCTTCCCCATCTGAACACTTTACTTAAAGTAGAATTCCAGTTTATATCTAACTAATCTTAAAGCTTTTGCCTTCCTCCTATACTAATTAACCTGTTGAAGAGAGATCTGTATATTTACCTATTTCAGGCGCTCCGGTCTGGTCACATGTTTGGCTCCTCTCTGTCAGTTAGCAGTGGCTTTAGGGTAGAAGAGAGAGTACCGACAATGGATGAGCCATAGTAAGCCTATGGGTAAATTCACCGCTCAGGTATTCCAGTCATTGAGCATTCTCATCTCTCCCCTGCAGGTGGCGCTTGCTGACACAGGGGAGATCACATGACCAAACCAGCGTGGCCTGAGAACAGGTAAGTATACAGATCTCTCTTCAACAGGTTACTTAGTATAGGTTGAGGGGAAAAGCTTTAGGATTAGTTAGATGTATCCCAGAATTCCACTTTAACCCCTCCCCCCACCTCGCAATGCTACATTCCTATCTTTAATCTTTTCCTTAAAGTGGTTGTAAACCTCAGACATCAAATATGAACAAAGCATAGCTCTCTATAGTGTGTACTTGTCTCAATAAAAGCACTAATTTCTGCTTCGTTCTTCTGCTATCAGCGTGAATTACTTCTGACAAGTTTTCCTGACACCAAGAGAAAAATGGTGGCAGGGGAGGGACTTAAGGCAGTTTGACACTCTCAGCTATGTTCCTGTGAGCTGTGTTTGTTTGTGGGGGGGCTCTTCCCTCCAATCAGCTCAAAGCTTCCCTCTTTGAGCTCGCAGTGTGTATTTTCAGCCCTTTTTTTCTGAGCACTCAGACAAGCTTTATAAAATCTGGACTTTGAACAGATGTAGAGAAGAGTGCAGATAAACAGGTACAACTTATTTAGGAGGATGTTTCATCTCTGTGTATCACCCAAGGGCAGCCACTTCATTGGGTATGTATAAGGGCTTACAACCACTTTAAAGTGGACCTAAACTGAAAACCTGAACATTAGCTATGTTACAGAGAACACCTAGAAGTCTTAAATCTGCCTAAGTGGTTCCCCTAAAATGTACCTTTTGTATTGAAATTCTTCTGAAAATACCAGGAGTCCTGGAATATGAGTGTGCCTAGGCACTCCTATTTCTTCAGCCTAGTATATCTGCAGGGTGAACCTAAAGTTGGCCATACACTGCCAAGTCGTTCGCTGCTAGCACAGCTCCATTCGAAAACAGTTGATTGCTAAATCAAATGTTGTCCAAGGGCCTGTTAGATGTAGGCACTGTTCAGGAGTTCTGACAACTGGTTACAACATTTTTCTATCTGTGCTATTTAGTATGCCTGGAGAAATCATTTAGATTTGGCTGGACAAAAGAAATCCATATGTATATGACCAGCTACAATCTGATTGTACAAATCTCTTTCCTAGTTACCAAGACTGTTATGTAAGGACAAACCTAAGTAATCTATTTAATTAGTATCAAAACAGACAAGCTCTTGCACTATACAGTTGATGGTAGATCTTAATGAGATTGTACAATTAAATTGCATGGTGTACAGTCAGACTAAGACACTCTGCTAATTCTGCTGCAAAACACTACCAGTATGGCCACCTCAATCAAAGACACAATGCAGAAAAAGTCATGTTAAGTCAGTAATAGTGAAACAATCAGCTGCAGGGAGACCACAGGCAATACTGATGACTAATCCTTTGTCTATTCTCTTATTTTGGCCCAGCTTTAAGAGCTCCTTTCCTCTTTAAAAAGAACTTATAATTGTTTGAACAAAGGACTCTCAGAGCAATATGTGTAATTTGCAGAGACAGCACAGAACTAGCCAACTGCCGACAGGCTTGCTCTGTCTGACTGAGCCACCTGATGTTGAATCGCTTTTCTTATGAGGATATATAAAAGCTTGAACTATTGGACACCGTTAACAGGCTTTTTACAACAGGTGTTAAGAAGGGAAAATGTGAAAAAGAACCTAAAGCTCCACCTGATGGATAAAATAAGAATACAAAAACACTAATAAGCAATGTTTCATGTTTACAGGCCAATTTTCAGCTTTCAACGCTGTCACACTTTGAATGACAATTGCCCGATCATGCAACTCATCACCCAAACAAAATTTTTATCTTTTTTTTAGACATATAGAGCACATATGTGGTATTTAATCACCACAGGGTTTTTTTATTTTTTTCTAACTAAAAAAGACTGAACATTTTGAAAAAAAGTTTTTTCCTTAGTTTCTGTTATAAAATTTTGTAAATAAGTAATTTTTCTCCTTCACTGATGTGCGTTAATGAGGCTGCAGTGATGGGCACTGATAGGCTGCACTGATGGGCACTGATAGGCGGCACTAATGGGCATTGACAAGCATCACTGGTGGGCACTGACAGGCATCACTGATGGGCACTGAAAGGCAGCACTCATATATGGCACTCATAGGCGGCACTGATTGGAACTGTTAGGCGGCACTGATTGGAACTGTTAGGCGGCACTGACTGGAACTGATTGGCAGCACTGATAGTTGGCACTGAAAGGCAGCTCTCATGGGCACTGATATGTGGCATTGATGTGCACTGATGGGCACTGGTATGTGGCATTGATGGGCACTGACAGGTGGCACTGATGGGGCTACACTGATCATCAGGGCACTGATCATCAGTGCCCTGATGATCAGTGTAGATGTCCCCTCTGAGGAATGCCACTTACTGGCTCTCCTCTCTTCACATGCTGTCAGCGTGAGGAAAGGACTGCCGATAACCAGCATTTCCTGTTTCCATACAATCAGCTGTGATTGGACACAGCTGATCACATGACAGAGCCTGTGTCATCTGGTTTTTACTGTGAGCGGTGATCCACTGTGAATCGCCGCACAATTGGTGACGTCCTTCCAGAACAAGAGGGGAGCCGCCACCCATTTGTCATTTCCTTGGCGGGCGGAAAGGTGGTTAAACAGCAAAGAAAAATATATTTTATACATTTTATTTTTTTAACAACGCCGGTTAAACTGGATGGGCTGATGTCTTTATTAATCCTTACCTTGTAACTATATGTAACTATGTAACACTTACCATAATAAAAACATATATTTTATACATTTTATTTTTTTAACAACACAGGTTGAACTGGATGGACTGATGTCTTTATTCAACCTTACCAACTATGTAACTATATGTAACTATGTAACACTGCCCAAAATAAAAAATAAAATAATAAATATAATAAAATATATCTAAAGAATATATATAAAACTCATATACTTTCCCATTATGATCATATCACATCAGGGGAGCATTTTAACTCTAAGAAAAGCTGATGATGATATGTCATTCTCATTCAAATGTTTGGACTATCTTAGTCCTATAAGCTGAAAATCTCTCTTTGTATTGGCAACTTTTACCTGTAGTTATTTATCAAACACATTTTAAAGAATGGATGTTTGCTGGTGGATTTATTCATTCACTATCCATTCATTTTTCATTCATATAATGAATCTAATTATGGCACTGCGCAACGACTAAACTTTCATTTCCGAGGCCCAGTGAGAAAGACACATTTAGCGTTTTGGAATATGCATTAATTACCAGTTGCTGAAAAGACAATTTGAAAATTGCTTGGGTAGCAAGAGTTACTGAAAGCCTGGTTCTCAGATTCCATAATTGCAAAAATCACTAACATGCGAAGGAAAAAAAGGAAACCAATATTTTTCTTTCATTTGTAAAGATCCAGTGTTTGAAAAATGCATTCTTGTAGACGTTTTGTTAATAGAAAACCAATTAGTGAGTCCTAATTGGAAAGAGTGCAGAAAATATCTGGCTGTAACAATCCATGTTTTCATAACGCACTATGAAGACAGTCTGGATAAAAAAACGTATTTAATACCACCAAGCAAGAGTTACATTTCATTGAACAGACATATTAACAAATGCCTTGGCATTTGTGCATTGACTTTTAACGGTGAATGCTAAAAACCCTATGGTACTTTATGACATTCGACATTAATAAAAAGCCTGCTTTCTTATGGCTAGATATTTCACATGGACGATGCGACAGATATTGTTCTGCATGCAATACTGTATATAGGTGTATCTGTAGATTATCATTCACATCAGACTGCTGTGTTCACCTCATTGACTCGCACCCTGAGGCTGAGTAAAACAATGCATTTAGACAGTGCAAAATGGCTGTCAAGCTGATTATCCACATTGTTCATTTAACACCTTTTCCTCCAGCTGATGAAGTGGTAATGGTTCAATAATGACTTTTGTTAGCATAAATTTATTTGTATGTGATTTTTTTTAAAACACAGCTTTTAAGAGCATCATTTATGCTCAGCTGCATTAATACACAGCTGAGGAATAAATGATGGTGTGTTATATATTGAAGAAGCACTCAATTACATTTTTTTCTAGTATGTGCAGTGCTTAGTCCTATGTTGCTACAGTCTTTGGAAGTCAAGCTATGAAGTCAGACAGGATGCTTGCAGTTGTACGATAACGTATCTAGCAAGGAGATGGCTTCCTGATAACTCATGCTTGTCTCTGCACCAAACACTTGCCAACCAGCGGCAAGAGGAATGCAGAAGTATGGGAGGCAGATGCCTTTTCCCCACATTCCTCTTGCCGCCACTGGCTTGACAAGTACTTTGTGCCGAGACAAGCACCATTTGTCCTAGATTGTAAGCTTGAAAGAGCAGGGCCCTCAATCCCCTCATGTTTTGCATTGTATTGGTATTGTTCTGTCACATGTTCTGTCCCCCTTTGTAATGTACAGCGCTGAGCGAACTATTGGCGCTTTATAAATACTGTATAATAATAATAATAATTTGTCAAGCAGCCATCCCTTTGCTACCTGTTTTCCAATATCTGTGGGAAAAGGTGTGGGTAGAGTTGTCATACAGGAACGTGTGCACTCTCACAACACAAACATTTTAATGGCTAAATGTGTAATACGGCTAAACCCACTTTAAAGCAGGAACATTCCCAGATGACCTCTCCCATATGTTTAGAAAAGATAAAAAGGAGTGAGAGAGTGGATGAGGCCCTATAGCTTTTCCCGATCCTTATCACTGACACTTTTGCTGGAAGCTTTCCATATGTAAATGTAGAGAAAAATATAAATAGAGGAATATAAAATAAAATAAAAGGAATTCAATCATTAAATGTATCAATATATACGCTCTTTATGATAATACTCATTTAGAAACAAAAGAAAGAATATGAGCTATTTCATTTCTTATCATTATTACTCCTATTACCCCCTTTAAAAAGAGTATCCACAAGCGCTGAGAGCAATGAGACCTTCATTTTTCTAGGCACAGTTTGGGGGACCATGCATTCTGAAGATGTGAAATGTGCGCAACACTCTGAGAGCGATCTCCTTAAGCTGTCTCTTTAAAAAGAAAACGCTCAGCATTTTATGGGCGCACTTAATGAAGGTATTCATACCAGAGAGACATACAGCTGCAGCCCAGTTCCTAAAAGGGTTTTACAGATGTAAAAGTAGTAAATTTAGCCCTTAGCCGACACTACTAAAATTATCTTGGAAATCCAATCCAGAGGACGTTAGAGACATGAGTTATGGCTGCTGTGCCGACTCTACATAGACGTCCTGTATGAGTCAGACAATAGACTCCATATATAAACTTACACCAAGTCATGAGGGTCATTCAGAAAAACTAAAGCTCTGTAGCCTTCATCTCTGGTAATCAACAAAATTCTAGATGTAATATTACAGTGAAGAAGTAGTATGGGCAGCAATATGATTTTCCTTCACTCTTTATCAAATGTAATAAACTGCATTTAAGCCTTTAGTTGCACTGTAAGAGCAGAAGAAAGAGTAGCATCAGTTTGGCTAAGATGCCCAAACGACCCCCCATCATGAAAGGGTCAAAGATAAAATGTCATTAGTTAGGAAGGAACCCCTTCATGGTGGCTGGTTGTAAAGTAAGATTGTGGTTTTAGTCTGACAGATTTTACCAATATATTACTATATTACTAAAGACTAAAGACAGGTCCACTTTTTACACACTAGGAAATGTATGGGTTGTAAAATATTGTAGGCTCAAAAATATAGGTACAACATCCTAAAGAACTATAAAGAAATGTCTAAGGAAAAAGGACAACCTTTACTGCTGGTTCACACTAGTGTGATCTCTGATGCGACCTGCACAGAATTCCAACACAAAAGGAAATCACATTTAATTCAACGGTGCCCATGCAACTCAGCACAGTGCGATTATGGAAAAGGTTTGTTCCTGTGCTACTTTGGTGCAATTTACAATGTGACTTGGCCCCACAGAATATGCAAAAATGCTGCTAAGTTGCATCAAAGTCACACTACATAACTGCTCCAAAAATCATGGCAAAAATGTATTGCAGTAATGTGAAATACGCCTTAGGGTAACCAAAGACTTTTAATTGCATTTATATAAAAATCACAATTTTATTACTATTTTTAAAAAATAGCATTTTAACCAGTTGCTGTCCATGGCAATTTGGTCATTTTTCACACGGATATTTAAAGTGTTAGTAAACCCACAACAGTAAAATCAGTCTGTATACGCAGTAAAGCATTGTGTAAAAAGTCTGTTTAATCATTTCTTCTCTGCAACTTCCTCTTGTTGAAATTACCACCTGATACAGACTGAACCCATGGTCACATGCACATGCTCAGTTTGGTGTGTATTGCTAGAGAGGTTTTTTTTTTTTTTGATCATTTCTTCTATGCAACTTCCTCTTGTTGAAATTACCACTTGATACAGACTGAACCCGTGGTCACATGCATATGCTCAGTTTGGTGTGTATTGCTAGAGAGGCTTTTTTTTGGGAGAGTGCATGTGATCAGCACAGGGCCAATCAGCACTGTCCAGACAGAGAGTCAGAAGTTTCACATGTTCCTAGAGCAGAAAGAAAACTCCTCCTACAAGCTTTAACCAGTGCTCAGCTGAAGTCACAAGACTACTCTAACTGTTGATGACAAAAGGAATTTAGCAGTTTATATTTACTAAAATAATTGCATTTCCATGTTTTGTGTACTGCGGGAGACCAGATATAGTGAATGCAGGGTCATGGGTTTAGTAACACTTCAAATCAGCATTTTTTTTGTTTTTATATGTTTGGTAGACAGCAAGGGGTTTATTTACTAAAGCTGGAGAGTCCAAAATCAGACTCCCTTCTGCATAGAAACCAATCAGCTTCCAGGTTTCATTGCCAAAGCTTCATTGAACAAGCTGAGGTTAGAAGCTGATTGGTTTCTATGCAGAAGGGAGTCTGATTTTGGACTCTCCAGCTTTAGTAAATAAACCCCCAAGTGTCTAAACAGTGTGCTATCAAGTATAGTCTTTAAAATGCCTCCATCACATAGATTCAACAACAATTAGCAATTGATGTGTCACTGTCTTAAAGCTCTCTAGTTAACATAATGCCTTCATTACTTTTACATACTAGGAATGTTTTCTGGAACTGTCCAATCAGATTCATATCCTGAGTGAAAAAAATTAGTTTGCATCAGTGCTTAGATTAGGAACAGCACTGAGGCTTGAAGGTCAGCACTGGGGTCCCCAGTTGAATTCCCAGTCAGGACAGTATCTGCATGAGGTTCTCGCTGTGATTGTGTGGCATTCCTCCCACACACCAAAGACATTCTAGTAGGTGGACTGTCCAAGCTGGCCCTAGTATATGTATATGTGTGTGTGTATATATAGGGACCAAAGATTATAAGCTCCTCGAGGGCAGGGACTGTAAAGAACTGAGAAAATTGTCAGCGCTATAGAAACCCCTGTAATAAATAAATGAAAGGTGAAAAGAAGCAAATATTTCAACTTATAAATAAA